ACTAAATCCGGTTTTGATTTAAGGGGGATCGTGTGACACCTAAATGGCCAGGAGTTATCTGTCACACAGGGAGGGATTCACATGCTTGGAGAGGTGGGCACCATGTCCTTGCAGGGAGTCTGGTCCTCAGAGAGCAGATGCCTCCTGGGTCACCCCTGCCATGCCCAGCCCTGTGCTCAGCTCTGCCACCGGGCCCAGCTTTGCCTCACAGGGCCATGAGGGGGCAGCCTGGTCGGGCATGCACTCACGCCTAGAACTGGGGGTGCACCATGGAGGAAGGGGTCCGGGGAAGCCAGTGCAGGTGGGAAGGAGGAGGGGGAGTGTGCGCGCCAACATCCAGTCACAGGGAGCCTGATGACACGGGAACCGGGCCCTTGTCCCGAGTTGGGGAGGGTGGTGGCGAGTGGCCAGCCTTGAGGACTGTGCTGAGGCATTGGAGGGCCGTCCTGTATCCTTCCTGGTCTCTGCGCTCTGGGCCTGGGTCTCTCCTTCACTCCCCTGGGAGGGGATGGCTGTGCTTCCCGGTTAGGCTGGCTTCACGCTAGTGTCAAGTGCCTGCTTTGACGTGTGCCTCCCCTAGGCCAGGAAGGGAGACAAGCCCCATCTGAGCAGCCAAGAGCCAGGGCCTGCGGGTCCGAGATCAAGGTTGGGGAAGGACAGCAGTGAGTGCCCTGTACAGGGAGGGGGGGCACTGGGAGGCTGCAGAGGGCTTCTCTGGGAGGGGCATTCTCTGATTCTTGCAGCCCTCTCGGGGTCCCTCTGAAGCTTTGCTCTGCCTTCCTACCCTCCACCAGGGCTCTCTGCCTCGCTTGAGGGAGCCCGAGTGACTGGAAAACTCATCCCAGCTGCTGTTGAGCCAAGGTCATGGCCAGTCGGCTGCCTGAGTCCCCTCCTGCCCCAGACTCCATCTTCCCGGTGGGCCTCCTGGAGGCAGTGACGTCATCATTTCCCACAGCCCAGCCTGCGGTGGGAAGCCCTGCCTGGCCCAGGGGAGGAGGGTGCATTCCTACTGCCCTGCGAGCCACAGGAGTTCCTGGCTAAGAGAGAGGCAAACCACGACCACACCATGGGCACCTTCCCCCCACAGAGCCCAGGACCAGGTCCTGAGCCAGCATCCGAAGCTCTGAGCACCCACCTCTGGACAAAGCCTGAGCTTCTCCCCCCGGGTCCCAGTGGGGACCGAGCCCAGCTTGTCCTGGGAACAACTCTGACCGGAATTCGGGGCTTGCTGGGCATGTCAGGAGTGAGGCACATCTGGAAAAGCACTTGTCGGGAAAGCCACTCTAGCAGGGCCAGCCAGTGCCCTCAGGCCTGAGTGGCCTGAAGCCCTGCCCAGGGCTCAGGAACCGGGGTGAGGGGCAGTCCCCCCTTATTTAGCCTGGCTCAGGCCTCGGGTTCTGGAGGCTGGGCCTGTGCAGGGCCCTGGGAGGGACGCGGAGCCTGCCCAATCAGGCCATGCCGGGGGAGGAGCCTGAGCTCCCAAGACAGGGGGTCTGCAGGGGCGACTCTGGCCTCTCCCAGCTCCTCTGCGTGCCCACTGGGAGCCCCGTGTTTCCTCCCCATCCAGCCCCCGCTATACCCTAATTATTAGGAAAGGTGGGGAGGTCCCCTTATCCTTACCCCCTCACCCATCTTTGCACTGCTGGGGCCTGGATCCCCCAGCCCTCATCCTGGTTCCTGGGGATTCCAGCTGGTAACCAGGCCCTTCCTGAGACAGGCAGAGACCCAGGCCTGGGCTCAGGGAATTAGGGGTCCTGAGAGTCTCAGCTCCGCCATTCCTTGTCAAATCACTTAGCACCTGGGCCTCCCAGCACTGTGGTACTGTGGTGAAGACAGGCCATCGGAGATTCTGTTTCATTCCTTCCTTCCTTCCTTCCTCCCTTCCTTCCTTCCTTCCTTCCTTCCTTCCTTCCTTCCTTCCTTCCTTCCTTCCTTCCTTCATTCCTTCCTTCCTTCCTTCCCTCCTTCCCTCCTTCCCTGGTTGGCTCAGATCTGTGGCAGTCCAGTGAGAAGGAGATGGAGGGGTTTGGGGCCTTCTGGGTCCAGGGCTCCCATGGGGGTATCATTGTCCTTTTACGTTGAAATAGTCAGGTCATGGCCACAGAGGCCCCTTTGCATTATGGGAGGTGGCGGGGGAATAAGGTGGGCTGGAGGTGTCAATGCCTTCATCCAGAGGAATGGGATACGGTGGCACTGCAGGCAGAAATGGTTCTGGAGTGGGGAAGGGGCGGGGGATACAGGGGGAGGCCAGGGTGTCGCCCTGAGGACCCTCACATATCATCCTGACCTTGGCGGGTGCCTAATTTGCCTGGGCCAAAGTGCTTTGCTTGCCCTGGGGCCCCAGGGTCCCCCATCTCCTGCCCTACTCCAGAGGGACATGGGCCTCTGCCAAGTACACACTCACATGTATGTCCTCCATAGTCACAAGCTCGGCCCCCTAGGGTACCTACAGAGAGCCTGCACGCCAGAATGTGAGCTTTGGGAGGACCGGAGCAGGGCTGTCTGGCCCGTGGGCATCTTCCAGTGCCCGGGATGGTGTAGGGAACATGATGTGCACTCAGTAAATGTTTGTTGGATGAATTAGTAGGTCTCAGGTGACTCCCGCCCTTGTGCATGATGGCACATCGTGTGACCTCAGCTGCTCGGACCTTGACCTGGCCCTCGGACACTGTCACAGAACCTAGGACACTCACAGGCCCATGAGGCTCCTAGTTCAAACCCTGCTGTGCTGCACCTGTGCTCCAGCCCGAGCCCAGTGGCCACTGCAGGCCCGGTGCCAGCCCTTCCCTGCCACCTTCCAGCCCCACCCTGGCTGGGACCCAGTACCTGCCAGTGTCAGAACTCATCCCGGCACTAATCAGAGGGCAGGGATAGGGATGGCCCTGTTGGGACCTGGAAGCCACAGTGGGAGGAAGAGGGTGGAGTGTATGTCCCTTACAGGACATTGAAGGGTGAAAGTCCTGCTCTAAAAGACCCAGGCTGAGGGATGCCCCAGCTCCACACCCAAGGACACAGGGACACTCTCTGCAGCCTGGTGCAGGGCAATCTCAGGATTGCGGAGGGAGCCTGGGGGCCAGAGGCCAGGGTGAGAAAGAGTCTCCCCAGCTATGGACAGCTGAGCCTGCGCCAAGAGTGACGGAGGCAGAGGAGGTTCCGGAAGAGGCCCCAGTGGGGCTGGCTCTTGCTCTCCCTTGGTTAATAAGGCACTGATTACTTCTGGCCTTGCCTGCCGGGTCTGTTTGAGCAGGTGGGACCTGCTGGCCCCACGCAGACTCCCGCCTCATGTCCACTCCATCCTGTACTTAGAGGCACTTAAGTGTATTTGGATAGACCGAGCTCCCCACACCCCACCCAGCAGGCCTCCTCCCTGGTGACCCCTGGTGGCTAGTTGCTGGGGCCAGGCGGCCCTGGTGTGTGCTGTGGCTGGTCAGGGACAGGAGCCTGGGTGGGAGGTGCGAGACCCATGCTGATCTCTGCCCTGTGCCTGGTGCAGACACAACTCATAGAAGCCCTTCCCCTCACTGGGCCTCAGTTTCCCGTGTGTGAAACGGGAAGAAGTTGACACTCATATATATGTAGGGTTGTGGTGAGGCAGGCAGGAGGCGGTGTAGAGGCCCAGGGAGGGCCGCTCTCCCCTGGGCCTGGTCCCCCTGCTCATGCTCTGCCTGGTTCCTCCTTCCACACACCAATGGGCAGCAGGCGGGTGGACGGGGCCCTGGGTTCCCCACCAGCCTCAGGGACTGGGAATCCAGTTTCTTGCTCAGTTCACCGGCTGCCTCTAGGCCTCTGCTTGGGGAAGCCCAGCACTGCAAGGTCTGTATCTCTTCTTCCCTCCCCTGCTGGGGGCGGGGCGGGTGGGAGCTGGTCTGGTTCCTCCCCCCTGCTCCTCACCCACCTTCCCCTTTCCACCCCTGGCTCTGGGCCCACTCGGGTCTCCCCTCTTTCAGCAGGTCTCTCGCTCTGTGCATGCACTTTGTCTCTCTCCTCCTCGGTCCTGGCCCGTGCCACTGTCTCTGCCCTGGGGACCGGTGTCTTCCACAGGTGTTCTTGTGACGACTCGACCTTCCTCCTCCCCAGTCCGTCCTCCTCTCTCTGCCAGTCCGTGTCTGTCCTCCCTTACTCTTTCCCCCTCCTTCCCGGCCGTCCAGCCTCTAGGTCGGGCTGTCATGCCCTCCATCTCCCCGGCGGTTCTGCCAGCCTGACAGCCATTGGGGAGAAAGGCCTCCACCGCCCTCGTCTTCCCCCATCGGCTCCTGAGCTATTGATTCCAGTTGCTACGGAAGCTTGAGGCAGCCCAGAGTGGGGGCTTCCCAGAACCCCACCTTGCTCAGGCCTGCCCTTGGCCACAGAGTGGAGGGTGGCCCACAGACAAGCTCTCTGAGACTTCTGATGCCTCTGTGCCCCCATCGGCTGAGGCCCGGCCGGTGTGCAAGTGTGCTCTGGGACATCCCTGAAGTGACATCCAGTGGCCGGGCTTGCACTTGGGTGCAGGAGGCCCTTCCAGACCCCCGGGCCCATGGGCTCCAGGCTGACCACTCTGGGTGGGATGGGGATGCCAGACCAGCAGAATCTTGGTGCCTCCAGGGAGGGCAATGTCTGCCCACCAAGCCCAGCCTGCCCACCCCACCCCACCCCATCTGGAGTGCCTGGCTCTGCCCTTGGGGACCCCCTAAGTGTTGTATGAAGGGCAGGGACACCTGGATTTCTCTGGACCCCTGAGTGAGGCCAGCTTGGAGGAATTTCCCAAAGCCTATTAGAGCCGTGGCGGCCTTCTGCCTGCCTCCTCGAGCTGGGCAGGGCCGCGGGCGGAGGGAGAGAGGGAGGGAGGGGGCAGAGGAGGGAGGGAAAAAAGTTGGCAGGCCAACAGCGGGGCTGTGTCTGCATCCATCGCTGAGAGGAGGCCCGTGCCGTGTGGGGCGGGCCAGCAGTAAGGAGAGGCCTTCCTCTCTTTGTGCTCCCCCTCCCCTCCTCCCCCCGGGGGCCCTATAAATAGGCCCTGCCCGGGCTGTGGCTCAGCTCTCAGAGGGAGTCAAGCACCAGGCAGCGGTCGCAAGCCAAGCCCCCCTGCCAGCATGGCCAGCGAGTTCAAGAAGAAGCTCTTTTGGAGGGCAGTGGTGGCCGAGTTCCTGGCCATGATCATCTTCATCTTCATCAGCATCGGTTCTGCCCTGGGCTTCAATTACCCGGTGAAGAACAACCAGACGTCAGGTGGGACCCAGGACAATGTGAAGGTGTCCCTGGCCTTCGGGCTGAGCATTGCCACGCTGGCCCAGAGCGTGGGCCACATCAGCGGTGCCCACCTCAACCCGGCCGTCACCCTGGGGCTGCTGCTCAGCTGCCAGATCAGCATCTTCCGGGCCATCATGTACATCGTCGCCCAGTGCGTAGGGGCCATAGTCGCCACCGCCATCCTCTCCGGGGTCACCTCTTCCCTGCCCAACAACTCGCTGGGCAGCAATGCGGTGAGTAGGGTGGGCTCTCAGATGGCGCTGAGACGGCACCTGTCTTGTCCTGCATCCACGGTACAGATGGGGACACTGAGAAAGAGCGAGGTTGAGAGGTTGCTGGACGTCTTCCTGAAGGGGCTGGGACTCAGCTCCACGCGCAGTCCAGGGTCTGTTTTCTGCCCCCGAGTCTGTTCTGCCCGGTACTGTGGGAAGCTGAGACCCGGAGAGTAATGCGTCTCGGAGGGCGCCTAGGAGGGCGTCTAGTACGGGGGCTACAGCCCCAGCCCCTCCCCTCTCACCTGTAGTTCCCGCCCCCACCCCCAGCCCTGCCTGTGGAGTCAGCTTTCTCCTGCTGTGGCCCAGCCCTGGGGAAGCTCTGCCCCATCCCCAGCCCTGGAACCAGATGCCCGGCAGGCGGGTCTGCAAGTGTGCGGGCAGGATTCCCGCAGGGCCCCCCCGCTGACGTCCAGGGAGCCCCCACATTCACACAGGTCCCCAGACAAACTGCCTTCAAGGAAAAACCTCCTGCTGTTCGGGCCTCAGGAATCAGACATGTCCCCAGGCTGTTTGCAGGCGGTTTTCCTGGATGACAAGGGCCAGGACGGACGTCTTGTCCCCCAGTCTTGGCTCCATTCACTGCCGCTGGGCACTGGGGGGTGGGACACGTGTGTTTGTGTGTGTGAACAGACGATACACACGGACACCAGCATGGGGCTCAAGTCTGTGCGTCCTGTGCACTCCGGTGGGGGGGTGGGATCTGTTTTTGTAAGTGTGTCTGCAAGCATGTTCGCACTGCAGCGTGAGCCTGTATGGGGTGAGGGGGTCCCCGCCTATACCCCAGTCCTGGCTTGAGTGGGGCCTGGGCCGGGGGCACTAATAACAAGCAGATGTTGGCAACTGGGTGGCAGCTGCTGAAAAGAATTCCTCGTGGGCTGCTTAGCACAGCTAATTGGCTGTTGGCGGCCGCTGCCTGTAGTCACAGACCTGGGCTTTTCCAGACCCGGAGCCAAGTGCACACTCAGACCTGGCTTGGGCCGCACACAGCAGGGGAAGTTTGGCCTGGGAGGCTGAAGAAGGCTCGAAGGATGTCGTGGAGCACCTGAGGGGGCGCTGCCTCCCAGGGGGGGAGCAGGGCCAAGGGGCAGAGAGGAGGATCAGACCTGGAGCCAGGAGGCCGGCGGGGCCCTGGGCAGGGCGGGTGGGCGTGGGGACAGCAAGGGAGCTTCCCAGGCAAAGTCCGGATCCGGGCTCCGTAGGACCAGCGCAGAGGGCAGCTGGGCGGCCCAGCCACTGGGGGATTAGCACTTCTTGTGTCACAGTGACACCTTTCCCAGCCCTCTGTGGAGTCAACTGCTACTCAGCCCCAGATTAAAGATTAGCCCTGAGGGCTGGAGTTTAGACTTTAGTCCGGGAAGACTTGGCTGTGATGGCTGTAATGGCCCTGTCCCTGCAGGCCTCAGTCACTCCAGTGGGGGCACAGCCAGGAGATCCTCAGGGAGTACCCTTCTGGGTAAGGTCAAGTTCACATCAGAGCTCAGGGGCATGATGAGCTGGGGAGAGGGTCCCCAGAGGGGAGGAGCTATGACTCCCCAGCTCCCTGGGCCCCTCCCGATCCCCCCTCTCTCCAGGGACAGGCAGGCCAGGCCTCCACTGGCCGACTCTCTGACACGGGCATCCCATCACAGGCAGGTGCAGGGAGGGTAGTGACCCTGATCTGGCCACGCCCTGGCTCTTCCCCTCTCTGGCCTCCATTGTCTAGAGTCACCCCAATACCCGGGCTGGGCAGGCTGCAGACAGAAAGGAGAAAGGAGCAACTTAGCTGGGGGGCCAGCCCTGTACTGGGGGGCAGGCCCTGGTTTCCTTGGATCTGAGGACCCTGAGGCCCCAGGAAGGGACCTAGGTGTCTTGGTAGCTCTCGGCCACGCCCATACTTCCAGCAAGCTCACCTTGTGAACTTGAGTTTATCACCCTCCTCAGGGGGTTTGGCTAAGAGGCCCCAGAGGGGCCGTGCTGAGCCTGGGTGTGCTGAGCCTCGTGGTGGGGGCCCAGGCACTGCCCCACTCACGTGGTGGGAGTTTGGAGTCCAGAAACAGAGAAGGTGTCCCCCACCCACCAAGGGGTCTTGTCAGACACTGGGCCCTCAGTGCCTCAGAAGAGACAGAGACCGGGGTCCCCAGCGGCTGCCTTACGCTTTCCTCCAGGCCTGGGAGGCTCCCCTTGGGCCCTGGGCTCCACCCTGCACCAAGCCTGCGTGGAGCCCACCGTTGGCATGGAGATTTCCAAGGAAAATAGGGAAAGAAGTGGCAGGAAGTGGTTGGGGTGAGTCAAGGGGTGTCCCCCTGGGCCATGGCGGGGGAGAGCTTTCCCCTCACTGAGTCAGGGCCCCGGGCACACCCTGGAGAGGTCACAGGCCTCTGACCGGCCCCCAGGATTCCTGGCTGGTTCTAAGAGCCAGACCCCAATTTTGGCCAAGGTGAGAGGCTCAGGGGCAGGGCTGGTGCCCCAGCTTGCTCCTGCCAGAGCTCAGCCACCGATACTCTATGTGGCTTCACGCAAGTGAAGGGCCTGGATGGCCCTAGTTCCCATCTGTGAAATGGGGACACAGCAGGCCGTGGCGGGGCTCCGTGGTGCGGGAGTTGCTGGTTTGTGAACTCAGAAATCCTGACTGGTCCCTGCTCTCGTGATTCTTCCCCTCTTCTTCTCTCACCCAGGATCCCTGCGCGTGGGGCCAGGACTGCCACGGCTTCCTGCGTGCGGGCTGAGTCGGCGGTTCCCTGCCCCGGGGGAAGCCCCAGGTCTGGGGCGGATAAGCCCCAGCACAGCTGCCTGTGATAAGAGGCAGGAGGCAGGTGCGATAAGAGATGTCAGGGTGGCCAGGGAACTTCTGACCTTCAGGGGAGGGAAGGGCCAGGCAAGCTTCAGGGAGGAGGTGCCACAGGAGCTCAAATGCAGAGACCCCTCTAGGGAAGGGCTTACGGGCATAGGCTGGGGGTCAGTGGGAGATTACAGCCCAGACAGGGGTCCTGGTGGGAGGTTGGGGTCCTGGAGGATGGGGAGGGCTCAGGTTCCAGGCCAGGGTCTGACTGAGTCCTAGAGGGGACTGGACGACTGGCCACCCCAGAGCCTGTGAATTTGGCCCCATAGGGGGCTCAGGCAGAGAACAAGCCTGCCCTCTTTGGTGGTCTTCTCTCGGTCTTGCTGATTCTGGGCCTGACCACCTGTACCTGCTGCATTGGAGGCTTGGCCTCAGCCCTAAACTTGCCCCTTTCCTGGTTTCCCAGGCCTCAGTTTCCCCAGCCACAGAGTGGGAGGCCCTGCTGCTACCACATCTTCCAGGGTTGGGGACTACTCCTGCCTCCTCCAGAGTCAGTGGTGGGCTGGGGGAGGGGAAGCCAGAATTCTCCAAGGGCGCTGTCCAGGGGGGCCTGCCCCAGGAGGGGCTGGGGCTGGTGGTGGTGCCACCGCTGGGATGTGTAATTACTGGTTCCAGCCAGAACCAGATGAGGGGGAGAGTGGCAGGACCTTTGCGGTGGAGCCTCCCTCACCGCGGAAACTTTGGAGGCTGTTTACCCTGTTGGAGCAGCCCGTTGGCCCCTGGCTGCCACCTCCGCCCTGGCCCTCCCCAGGGCTCGCCTTAGGAAAGCCCCACTCGAAGGGGCGCCACTCTGAGAGGGGCGCTGGGTCTGAGGGGGGCCGGCCCAGGCTACAGCCCACCCCTCCAGAGCCAGTAGGTCCTGCAGGCCTCCCCAACCTGAGCTCAGCCGGGACAGTGCTCCCCGCTATCTTGAGGGCCCCACCCAGTGGGCGTTCCTTCAGGACCCGCCCAGTGGAGCTCTCCCCAGGCAGCTCAGAGAATCCCCTGCTTGCTTCTTGGGGACTGGCTCAGGAATCTGCCCCTGGGGGTACAGGGAGCCCTCTGTTCTTGCAGGCAGAGCCTCCCTGGGGTCAGGGGAGTCTTGGCACTTGCCCTCGGGAAGAACCGCTATCTGGGGTTGAGCCCCAGCACCTGCAGCTGTGGGCAGGAGAATGCTGTCCTGGCCAGGGTCCCCTCAGCCAGCACCTGTCCCCAGGGACCTGAGGGACTCCTTGCCCACAGTGCGGCCCAATAGGACCAGCACACCCCGAGGCTGAAAGCCCCAACTCCAAAGATGGAGAAGAGGCTGGAAAATGAGCAGTTCCTATGAGTGCCTTTGAAATCTACCACCAGGACAATGGTCTGCTCAGTGTAAAGGAGGATTTTTTTTTAATTGGGGAAAGGCTGCCTCTGAGCCAGTGAGCTCCCAGTCATGAGGGGTGTGCAAGGAGAATCTGTGTGGCGGCTGGCTGCTCTGGGGCACACGGCCCTGCATGGTGCAGCAGGGTGGTGAGTGGGAGGGCCTGCGACAGGCTGGGTGCTGCATGGAACCCAGTGGTTCAGATGGCCTGGGGGGTGGGCGGGGAGCCTGCACCGGGTTTCTGGAGGCTGTCCCGGAGGATGGCTGTGGGTCTGGGAGGCAGGGTCGGCACCCGGAAGGGAGGAATCCTGGAAACTCTCTAGGCTGGGGTCAGAGCCAAGGCCCCCATTTTTCCAAGTGGACATGCTTAAGTTGCACCAACACACATTCGCACACATGCGTGGTGGCACACACATGTGGGCATGGGGCCATTCTCAAGTCTGGATGCTTCCACCCAGGCCTTGGGAGCCCAGGAGGGCAAGGCGGGAGCTCCTCACTGAAGCCTTTTCCTCTCCCTGGCAGCGGGGTGGGGGCTGCCTGGGAGTAAGGAAAGGAGGGAGGGAGGCAGGAGGAAGCCATTGCTTTGTGTATTGTTTCTTGTCAGGAAGATGAAATGGCTTCTGGGAGCAAATAAACGGCCTTTTGAGACCTGCTCTCTCTCACTCAGGGGGCCTCCTTCCCGTCTCTTTCCCCACTCCTCAGCCAGCAGGGGCACCTTCGAACAGGTGAATCACACTTAGGGACATCCAGGGCGACACACTCAGAAGTGCCAGCAGACCCCCAGCATGACTGTCCAGGGCCACGTGCTGCTCAGAGACTGCCCCCAGCCTGCAGAGCCCCTGAGCCCAGAACCCTGGTGGTCGGGGTTCTCGGAGTCAGCAGGGACAGAGCGTTTGTCTGAGTGTCCCGAGCGGGCTGAGAGTGTATCTTCTCAAATTAGGGGGTGCGGGGTCTTACACATTTTCCTTAAACCAAGCTTCTTAATTATGTGATTTAAGTCCTTCCCAGTTGTGAGTTTTGTCTTTTGAATGCTTTATTCCGTCGGTTTTCAAGAGAGGGTTGTTAAATTCTCGCTCTAGTTGCAGCTTATCCATGTTCTTGAACTTTTGTTGATTTTTGCATCATTGATTTTTAGGCTATATTTTTTGGTGCATGAAGGTTGAAATTCTTCTAGCTTTTGGATAGGCTTGTCTTTTACTTATTGGGTAGTAAACCTCCTGATATCTGAGAAAAAGGAGGAGGAGGCCGAGTCGCCCCTGGACATGGGTGGTCACCCACTGATACTGCAGACACAGATCTGCGCAGACGCACAGAGGGGCACAGAGCTGTGGGTACACGCGAATGCCCATGGGGGGTGACACGGGGGCCCTCTGAGCCACCCCCCTGTGAGTGCTGAGTCTTGGAGGCAGTGGGTGTGGGGGGTGGGGCAGGCCTCACTGTCTCCCATCCCCTGTTCTTCAAGAGATGATGCTCCGAGCCTCAGGCAGGCCTGGCTCTGGAGGCCCCCAAGGGTGGGGACCAGGATCCCAGGCCAAGTAGAGGGCCCCGGGACTTGGAAGTAACCTTGATCAGCCTGCCCATGAGCAGCAGAGAGGGTTTAAAGTTTTTTTTGCCAGGAGAGGCCAGCCCTGTGCCGCTCTGGAGCCAGGATGCCCTGGCAGCTGAAGCCCCGTCTTCTGCCAGCTCCCTAGTCCCGCCTGGGAACAGCCAGGTCCCTTGGCTGGGCCTGTGGGTAGCCAGAGACTTGGCCTTGGCCTTGGGCTTTGCTCTCTCGTCCCTGAGCCTCAGTCTCTTCCTTTAGCTCCTCACAGAGCCCTTGCACCTGCTGCCCTGCAAGGATCACAGAGAAAGCGACTGCCCTGTGGTCCCCCGGCTAGAAGGCAGATACACCCTCCCTGGGTCCGGAGAGCTTTCCTGGGTCCAGGCTGCCTCCAGAGAGAGAGAGCGGAAGTTTGAGATAATTAGCATCCTCCGCCACTTGTGTCACCACAGAGCGAGTGTCTCCCGCAAGGTCTGGGTGGGGAGATGTAACGTCCTCACCGGGTTCTTGGGCCAGGTGGGTGGAGCACAGGGTAGGAGGCTGGAGGGCTGCTTCTCTACATGACCATCGACAGTTCGCGGGGGCGAGAGGGTGGGGTGTAACAGCAGAGGCTAATTCCAGCCAGGGACCTGGGAAGGCCCCTTGGAGCTGGTGGGGTCCCAATGTGCCTGGAGGGCGGGTATCCATGGGCTCAGTATGCAAATCTTTCAGCTGCTTCAAATTAAACATGTGGATCGTTCTGTTGTTTATAATTGCAGTAGCAGAACTCACGGTTATTTTTTCTGGCGGCTTCAGCTGGTGGGATATCAGACCTGGGCCGGGCGAAACTACCTGGAAAGGAGCAAATGTATATATTTTTTCAAAAACAAGTGACCACAACTGGGACAGGCCCTCCTATTAATTGTTTCAAGTTTAATGGATTCTAAGTAGTAACATATTTTTTGAATTTTTACCTGCTCTTTCCTGAACATCAAGTTTCAACAGACCTTTAACTACCCCTTCCAATTCTGAATTATCATGTTTTCCCAGATGTAAGTAATGGGAGTGCATTGGCAGTCAAAGGAGGGCTAATCAGTAGACAGTGAAGCAATCAGGGGACGTTTCCTGATGGTGGTGGAAGTAATGGGTGTTGGAAGAAGAAGGTTACCAGCGCATGTGGTTCTGGGCACTCAGGAAGGGACATCCTAGAAATCCCGGGGCAGGTGGCCCATTCCTGTGGAACCAGAGCACTGTCCTGGCACCAGCCCCAGCCCTCCACCCCTGCCACTTTGCATGAGAAGTGGTGCCTTTGGGGAGCAGGAGCTGGGATGCTGAGACCTATAAGGATGGGGCGGGAGAGGAGATGAGCTCATCTAGGCCACATTTGTGAGATGGTTGCATGGGGTTGAGGAGCATGAGGCCAGGAGCCACTTAAAGCAATGGGTCCATTAATCAGTGTGGAAGGGCTGGTTTCAGGACCCCCGCCAGCTAGCAATTAGGCTGGCCCTGGGGAGCAGAGGAAAGGCGGGGAGGAGCCTGAGCTTCCCAAGTGCTCAGACACGGAGGCTGGGGCAGGTGTGAGTGTGATGGGCACCGGTACAAGCAGCTGGCCGGCCTCACCATCCCTGCATCCACGGAGCCTGGTTCAGCACCCGGCACCCAGCAGGCCTCGCCCCTACATCCACTCCTCTGCGCAGCAGGGTAGTTCTCTGCCTGTCCCCCAATCCTGAGGATAAGAGGAAAAAGGATCCGAACAAAGCTACAGCTTTTCTGATCCCTCCTGCCCCGGCACCACTTTCCAAATGCCCAGAGACAGCCCCGTTGCCTTCGATCTGTTTTATACTGGGACAAACTGAGGAGCAGAGAAGGCAAGGCTATGGTCATGGTGCCAGCGAGTCAGAGTCGGGACCTGAGCACCTTAGGGCGGGGAGAAAATGGGCATTGCCCAGAGGGCTGGCTGAGCTGAGGGCGCAGGGGTCTGAGTCACTTTCCCTGTGACCCAGGGCTGAGACAAAGGCGGGAAGAGAATTGTTCGTGTAAGCTGCCGTCAGCTTACGGCTAAGAAAACTTCTGGGGGGCGGGGTGGAGGAGTGCCCCCCATCTAGGGTTTTGCAAAATGCCCAACTGCCTTGGCGACACCCTCTTACCCTGAGGATGAGACTTCAAGTTCCCACCTATTTGGACACACCTGCCTGGGAGCAGGCAGCAGAAAAGGGGCCCCGCCCGGGCCTCCGCCAGTGGGCCTGTGCCGGTGTGGCCAGCTCCTCCGTGTGGCCTCCCCTGGCCCCTGAGACCCCCCACGTAGGGCGGAGCAGGGGCTTGCTGGGAGGGGTCTCCCTGGTGCAGCTGCAGGGGGAGGGCCCTGGTGACTTCACAGCAGCTCCCATCCCCTTCCTTTTCCATGAGTCATGTTACTAAAAGTGGCCCAGGAGCAAGTGACAGCCAGACGGTGGTGGTGGGGCCCATGTGGCCAAAGGGAGAGGGCTGGGCCAGGAGGGGAGGGAGGGCAGAGACAGGGAGGGCCCTGGCCCAGAAGATGTGGGAGAGACACTGGACCGGGGGAGAGGCAGGCGGAGGTGAGGAAGGAGACCCCGGGTAGGGCAGCAAAGCAGACAGGCAGGGGGCGGGGAGGGACAGAGGGAGCTGGGCCAGTGGACTGAGGAGGACCCTTCCCCAGCTTTGGGGTTTTAGATGCAGCCAGGGATGGGGTAGAATGTTCCAGACTTAGGGGATAAAAAGCGGACTCCATCCAGGCCATCCCACCCATTTGCTTCTCCTGTCCTGTGACTGTCCCTGCGTGTCCCTGACCATCTCCTCTCATGCCTGGGCCTTGCCCCTCATCTCTGGCCTTGGTCCCTACTGGCCCTGGACTGGATGTAGCTGACAGACAACCCCAAAGCCTCCAAGGTCTGGGCAGGTACCAGGGGCCCAGCTAGTGCTGCCTCAACATGTGTGACAGGGGACGAGTCCTGATGTCCACCCCAAGCTGTCCCTCCGGGCCAGCCAGGGGCTGGTGGGATGGGCTCTGAGGGCACTGAGGGTCTGGCCCTTGGTGCCAGGGGCCCTGACCCAGTGCCCACCTGTCCTGCTCACCTAGCCCTGATGTCCCTGTCCCCTACAGCTGGCCCCTGGCGTGAACTCGGGCCAGGGCCTGGGCATCGAGATCATTGCCACCCTGCAGCTGGTGCTGTGCGTGCTGGCCACCACTGACCGGAGGCGCCGTGACCTTGGGGGCTCAGCGCCCCTCGCCATAGGCCTCTCTGTGGCCCTGGGACACCTGCTGGCGGTGAGTGCGGGGCCTTCCCAGGTGGGGGCAATGAAGAGAGCGGGGCCAGGCAGTGGCTTCAGGGTGCCTAGCTGTGGGCAGTGGAAGGGTCCCCCAACTGGGCTCATCCATGGGGGACAATGAGCTCTTTGGGCCAGGGGCTGTGAGGGCAGGGTGGGGGGTTCGGGTCCTGCCCACAACAGGAAAGCACAGTGGCCTTCTGGCCATCTTTCTGGGTCCATGTGCTCGTCTCTTTGTGGTTCTGGTCGCCATCTCGCTGTCTCCTCTCTGTGTCTCACTCTCTCTTCCTCTCCCTTCACCTCTGCTCCTCTGTCCCCGCCCCCCATGCCCCCTACTCACAGATTGACTACACTGGCTGCAGTATTAACCCTGCCCGGTCCTTCGGCTCCTCGGTGATCAGTCACAACTTCACAGACCACTGGGTAAGGACTAACGGGCTGCCTGTGGAGGTGGGCAGGAGGCTGCGGTGCCTGTGGAAGGCCGACCCCACTGTGAATCTCCTCCTGTCCCGGAGGCTCTGGTAGGCAGCCAGGGATGAGGGACACAGGACAGTGAGACTGGTGAGGAAGGGGCTGGAGGGGCCCGGCTGGGACCGGCATGGGCTGGGCACCCCCTCCCAGCTCAGGCCCACCCCAAGTCACCCAGCAGCTTGGTGGAGAGTGAGGCCTGAATCCGGGCTCCGCCGCTTTCCAGCTGAGCTTGTCTGTGGGCAGGCTGCGGGCCCTCTTCACGCCTGTGTTCTGAGCGAAGGGGTTGGGACGGGTGGCACCTACCTGCCCTCCAGGCTGCCCTCACACGGCCTCACCGCCTGTGAGCTGAGTGTAGCGTGGAGGGACTACTCTGTGGATTCAGCTGTTCTCACTTTTGGTGTTTGTTCCAGGCCAGCCTTTCACCAAACTAGACCCTCTGTGACCTTCCAAGGCTAGGGTGGGGCAGGGGGCCCCCTCAAGAAGGGGCAGGTCTGACCTCGCCCAGCAGGCTGAGCTGGGCCACACAGAGGGAGGGAGCTGCCCACTACCAGAGTCTTGGCTTGGGCCAGGTTGGGGGACCTGGGGGGCAGCACTGCCTGTCTCTGCCCCAGACACTGGTGGGAGAGAACCCATTCAGTAGGGTGCTGGGGCAGGGACTCGGGGAGAGCCTCCCAGGAGAGGGGACTGAGGGTGGAACCCCGAAGGCCGGGCCAGATGCGCTCTGAGCATGCCTGCTCTGTTCCCAGGTTTTCTGGGTGGGGCCGTTCATCGGGGCCGCCCTGGCTGTGCTCATCTACGACTTCATCCTGGCCCCTCGCAGCAGCGACCTCACGGACCGCATGAAGGTGTGCACCAGCGGCCAGGTGGAGGAGTACGACCTGGATGGCGACGACATCAACTCCAGGGTGGAGATGAAGCCCAAATAGAGGGGGCCAGGCCCGGGCGTCCCCGTGGGGGACAGGGGCAGGGGTGGGTGGAGGGCGGGGAGGGGTGAATTCTGTATTGTAGACACTCTGACAAGCTGGCCACTGTCACTTCGAGAAGGTGCGGAGCACGCGCATGGCCAAGCCTGATTTGGGGCTGTTGCTACCACTTTCTTTCTCTTTCTCTGTTTCCTGGCCTTGGGGCTTCCTGGAGACCAAGACTTACCACTCACCCACTCCCTTAAAGTCACAGAGGAGGTGAAAGAGAGGGACCCACTCTGCCAAGTTGTCCCCTCAGAGTGTGACAGGTGTGCCGGAAAGTCCCCCTCCTCCCAAAGCAGCGCTCCAGCTCACCTGCAGCAGGTGCCTGGGGCTCCACTGTCAGTGTTTTGTGCCTTTGGGCGTGGCCCCTTCTTGTAACATGCACTTTGCCCCCTAGGGGGCTTTGAGGGAAACAGACCCCAGGACGGGTGTCAGGAGCGAGTGATGCTGAGCTTTATCCGCACAGCTTGGCTTGCTTCCAGGGCCCTCCTTCGGCTGGGCCACAGAACCTTGGGATGGTCCCTATCTTGGGGCCTCAGTGACCTGTCTGTGAAGTGGCAGGGACAGGGAGAGCTCTTGGTGGGCCTGAGGTCCCTCTCTAGGATTCTGAAAGTGTGGATACCCCGTGGGTTCCGGGAGATGGAGTCTGGACCGGCGCTGTGTCCTCCAAGTGCACAGCCGTAGCTGTGCCTCTAGAGAGCATGTGTACACACGCATGAGTGTTTCAAAGCAGCAAGCGACAGTCTGGCCATCGGAAGCTCCCTCCGCGGTGGCCTTGCCAGACAGACAAGCAAAGAGCCGTTCAGAGGTCAAAGGAGGAATATACATGTTTCCACATTGGTTTCACTTGGCCCTTCCCACCTATCCCTGCAACATCCTGACCGTTATTCGGTTTTCCACTTCCTCCGGCCAGAGTAGACACAGGTCCCTGCCATGCGGGAGTGTGTTTATTAAGGGATAGTTTGTGACCTGAGGCCCAAAGTCTGGGGACAGTTGACCGTGAGGTGGCTCAGCCCACAGAGGCCGATGCCTTTGCTGGATCCTCGGTGGGGGGGTCCCAAGTCCCCAGCTGACTCTGAGCAGGGAGGAGGATCGGATGCCCCACTTACTGCTGAGGTCCTGGCTGGAGGCGCTGAGGGCAGTGGGGTGACCTGCACAGGTCATGTGACCCAGGCCACCAACTTCTGTCCTCACTCCCCTGGAGGAGAATCGGCCTTGACCTGGTGAAGGGGCTGTGGCTGCAGCCCAAGTGCAGCCCAAGTCTGCACAGTCCATTCAATTCCACCAGGGCCAGAGCGTGCCCGCGGCCATGGTGGTGGCAGAAACGGAGACACAACACCCAGCTATCCAGAAGTGGGAAGCCCTTGACAGTCACGGAAGCATCATGGCATGTGCACACTCTCCCCACTTCCCAAGCAGGGACTTCCGGTCCACTTAACGGATGAGGAAACTGAGGCCCAAGGTCCCACAGCTAGACCTCGATTTGGCCAGGCCTGGCAGCCAAGGCGTGTCTCTGGCTACTACCTGGCCCTTGAGATTGACCCCTCTCATCCCCAGCTTCTCAGTTTCTGCCTGGAGGGCACTGGAGGGCAGAGGGTCATGCTGGAGGGGGAGGGGCAGACCCGCACTCCCTGCCCCGTCCTTGCCGTGTGCACCAGGACCCTGCTTCTGTCTGCGCTTCATATACGTCTCTTTGGAATTGGGAGTTTCATTCTATGTTAAGAAAATAAAGGAAAATGACTTCTAAGGTCATCCAGGCTTCCTGTAGTTTTCTTTCATCACCGCGTTTCTGCTAAGAACCTCTGGTCTGGGAGGGCACCAGGGCCCTCTCCTCGGGACACAGTCAAGGGGGGCCACTGCCTGCCTCCTGCCCCAGGACACCTGGTCTCCAGGGACAAGCGCAGCCCCAGCCCAGCACTTCGTTGGAGGGACACAGGCCCCGGCCCCTCAGAGGGCCCCTTTGCGGTCCCAGCACGTGAAGAGGTGGTGACGGCAGGACTGACAGGCCTGTAAGCCCTCTGCCCTCCTCTCAGTGGGACCCAGGGAGCCCCAGGGACAGCCAGGCGTCCCTCCCTCACCCCTGTCCTGGTCTTTCACCCCCGTCCTGGGGCCCCAGGCTCAGTCCCATGGGGGAGGCAGGCCCACCCCCACAGAGCCGAGCGAGGCCCACCGGGCACAGAGGATGCTGAGATGTGCGGCAGAGGACGACCAGCGGAAGTCAGGAGAGGAAGCACACCCTGAGCTCTGGGGCCTCACCTGCCCGGCCGGTCAGTGAGAATGTGCATTTCCCTGGGGGTTTCTGTGGCTTCCGTCAGGAAAGAGAGGTTAGAGTGAGCTGGCCTCTGCCTGAACGGTGATGGAGAGCCAGGAAGGGACCCCTCTGTCTACTCCTGCCTTTACAGCCTGTCCCTGTGTGGCCCCAAGGCCAGTGCAGGATGAAACAGACCCTGTCCTCACCCCCACCCCAGGCCTTTGGCACTCACGCAGTCCTCCCCACTCGTGGCTCCTCTCCACACTGGGGGGGGGGGGTGGCAGGTGTGCAGGTCCTCTAAGAATGTCCCAGGTCTCAGCGCAATGCATAGGGCAAGCTGACACTTGGACCAAGAACCCTGATGCTGCCCGCCTACCCCGCCATGCATACACTCTAGGGCTAATTTCTCCGAGCAGGGACCACTGTACCGGGAGCAATGCGTGCTCTGTAATAGGGGCAGGCCCCTTCCCATGGGCAGGCTTGCACTTCCCAGGCAGCCTGGAGTCTGGGAGGCTCTGAGAACCATCACCCTTTTGGAGATCACCCTAGGCCACACAGGCTGGCATCACCATAGATGGGGACAGAGCAGGGATGGGGTGTCTGAGAAGGTCCTCGTGCCCCAGCAATCCTCCTAAGAAGCATGTATCTTCTGGTGGAGGGTGTGGCTGACGGTGGCATAGGGCCACTGGGCCGGGCCAGGGAGCTAGGCTGTCCTAATGAAGGCCGAGTCAGCGCTTGGCAGCAGGATTTCTTTCTGCGGTGCACACTGGGCCCCAGGAGGGGCACCTGGGCTGTCTCAGCTGCTCAAACTGTGCATAACCCAGGTGGAGGACAGGCTGGTGTGCATGGGGTGTGAGCGCCCGGGTATGGGAACAGGGTGTGGGCTAGCCCGCGGCCCCCCGGGCCCAACAGCGGGGTGTGCTGAGGCTACCTCTCACAGCCCTGCTTTGCTTTTCTTACTATGTCCCACCCTTCCAGGCACGCAGCCCTCTCAGACCCCACCTCAGGCCCAGGCCCCCTCCCTCTACCCCTGCTCTTCCTGGACCACCCCTGGCTATTCCAGGGCAGAACCTTTCTTTCGGAGTGTTTAATGGTAACTTCTAGAATCCTAGTGTCAAGAGATAGATAGGGTCTGAGAAGGAGGACGGGGAGCTGGTATTTTGTGAGAATGTACTATTTGTGAGGCTCTCCCCTCTGACTTCACACACAGTCTAATCTTTACAGCATCCTTGGGAGATGAAGAGAGCTGCCTCCAGGTGCAGAGGATGCTGAGGCCCAGAAGACAAAATGGTTTGTCCAAGGCCCCACAGCAGGTGCGTGGCAGAACTGGGATTTGAACTTGCTCTGCCTGGCTTCAAAGATGGGCCTCTTTCCTCTCCGTGGCTGGCTAATTTTGTCATGACTTCCACTAAGTTCAGCTCTAGGTCAGCCAGCTGGTCAACCAGGCTTCTTCAGTCTGTGAGGTGTTAAGAGGGAGGAGGAAGGGAAGGAGGGGGCTCTGGCACCAGGCAAAGGCTCGGTCCATTCCAAGGCCGGTGGGACAGAGTATCTGCTTGAGACACACTGGCACCACCTGGCCCCAGGCTGCTCCTCTGGCACCAGCACCATCACAGCCTCCCCAGGGCCCTCTCAGCCTGACCGGCCCTCTATCTGGAAGGGAAACACCTGCTAAACCTCCTCACACAGTGCATGTCCTCTCCCCTCAGAGAGCCAGAGAAAGAGAAGGGCAATGCTGCACACTGAGGAATAATAATGCACTAGGAAGGGCCTCTGATACCATTCAGGCTGGAGCAAAAGCTTTGGGGCCAGCCTGTCCCCAACTCCCCATCACCTTCCAGCCTGTGGGTTCAGTGCTCTTGAGGTACCCCATCTCTCAAGGGTCATCCCTGACTCTGCTCTGCTCTTGTTCTGTCTGGCCCTGCACAGAGGAGAGATTTAGGAGGAATAAAGGAACTGGCGTGGGGCTTCTGGAGCAACCAGAGCCCTTGCCAAGTTTGTTCATCCAACTTTAATGAAGAGAGTGAATTTCCTGGGAGATTCCATGACTCAACCTTTAACTTCCAGCTGCCGAGCATTCAGGTGGCCACACACGTGAGGTGCTTGGTGGCAGGTACCCATTGCTCTGTCTGCCGGGTTTCTGCTGACACCAGACAATAGGATCCTGCCCCTGTGGACTCCCCTGTGGTCCTGAGATGTGCACGCAGAGGGGACCCAGCTGGCCTGAATGGCCTTGCCCTCTGCCCTTGGCCCAGCGGGAAGCAGGATGTCATTCAGCAGTTACTTGGTCCTAGAATATTTGTCTCTCTATTAAACCAGCAAGAGCAAAGAGTTGCACTTGCACAGTAGCCCCACCATTCTGAGGCCTCCCAGCTGGTCGAAGGCTGCATGGTTTCCAAAGCCCTTCAGAGGGAATGTCGGCCAGAGCCCACCATCAATGTTCAGACCAACCTGAAGTTGCTTCTCATTTGTGTGCATGCATGACCTCAAGCATTGGGTCACTCGGCCCTGGGTCTCTGAGCCCCCAGGAATCCGGGGCCAGTCAGCTGGTCAGGCAGAGGCGCCATGCAGCCTCAGCAGGGTGGTGACTCTGGTTCTGACCCCAGCACCTTTATTCTCTCAAAAGCTCAAGTAGCTTCAAAGAGGCACCAAGTGCAAGCATATGGATGGCTCTCAGCAGCCACTTGCTTTTTGGCCCCAAGGACTACAGCACCTTTGGGGGGACCAGTAGATGCAGGGAGGGTTCCCTTCCTTTTGGGGTTCCGAGGATGATCCTCAGTATCCTGGGAACCAAAGTCGGGAGCTGGTTTGGAAAAGCACTGGAGGGCCCAGTGCCAGGGGCCCCCGCCCTCGGCGCGGCCCGGCCACGTGCTGGCCCATTAGGGTTTTTCCATCCCTCCTGTGGGTCACACCTTCGCTAGTCAGGGGCCTCTCAAGGAGGGGATAGTGATTAATGTTTTATGGACGAACTGCTGGGCATGATGCCTTGTTTTCTTTAGGATTAGAAGACAATGAGGGCGATGAGTGGAATTCGCTGGAGCTCAGGGCCAGTCTTGGGGGCTGAGGGCTCACAGGTGGTGATGTTTACTATCCTTAGTGCTGAAAAGGGAGCGATTCTGGAGGCAGGTGAGGCCTTTGCTTGCAAACCCACCATCCCCAGACCTCCAGAGAGAGCTCCCACCAATGCCTTGGGCCCAGAGTGCGGAGGCCACTGGTGAAGGGTCCCCAGAAATGTCAGTGAGCTTGTTCTGCTTAGGTGACTCTATCTCATTCCAATAAAACCACATTCTCTGCATATAGGGCTTTGCTTATTTTTCTGTGCTTTCCAGGGTGTCGATGGGGAACGAGGTGAGGCACAACTGACCTTCAGCCATTTGGGTCTGTATGACCCCTGGGTCCTGAAATGTGAAAGTGCTTCTAACTGGTCTAAGCTCTGCAAGGGTCCCTTCCCTCCTGGTCTGGCCTCCATGGTTACCCTGGTCCTTGTTGAGTCTCTGGTCACTTCTGTGCTTCTCCACAGCCCAGTACTTGTGGCATCAATGCTGTCATCAGCAGGGGGCCACCAGGACCCTCTCCATCACCATACTTGTGGGGAAGTTCTGGTGTGTTGATACCCCAACACACGTGACTGTTATGTGTTTTGTATGTCACCTCTGGGTGGGACCCAAAGCATTAAATTCATATGGGTGTGTGTGTGTGTGTGTGTGTGTGTGTGAGTTAGGGGAGAACTCAGTCCTGTCATACTCTTAGCGTCACCTTCCGATCTGTCCTAAGAACCTTTCCAGTGGTTGTCACTTATAGGGGAGCCACGCACGGTTTATATAAAGACACAGACCCAGGGCTCTGCCAGGTCCTGCCACACTGACAAAGGCTGGAGACGTGTCCCCTGCCCACAACCATGTTGTTACTGACAGACATCACCACCGGGTGCTGTGCTGGGTTTGCGGGAAGCCAGCCCACCCCCGTGTAAGAGAGCGGCAGCTTGAGAAGGCTGGCGGACTTGTTTTTGAAGGGGTGCCTGGCAGATATGTTCCTACAAACTACTAAGTAAGCAAATAGATCTATAATCTGGAGGGAGAAAAATGGATGGGAGAAAGAGAGAGAGACTGAGTCTCAGTAAGTTCAGTGAGTGTGTCCAGCCCGCAGAAAGCAAACCCGAAGAGTCAATAAAGCAGAGAAAGGGCCCGGGGTGGAAGCCTTCTGTTCAAGCAGACTTGCATGTGCGTACGTGGCCACAGCCCTGGCTCCTCCCTGAACACGGGCTTTACCTTATTTGTAAACTTAGCTTATATTTTTTCATAATGAAACTTGGATGTAAATAATGTATGCCTTCGAGGAACTCAACAAAAAAACCTAAACAAAATAAACCTATAAAACCTATAAAATTAATTTTAATCACCTGAGTGTAACGTTGACCCCTGTGGGAGCTGCCCATGTCATATGGGGGGGGGGTCAGTACATTTTGAATGTCCCTTGGGTGGGTGTGTGGGGGTGGGTGGTGGGA